CTGAACTTCTCGTCAAGAAACCGCTTCACCTGCGAGATAAAGTCCAAGTCATTACCAGCCAAGATGACATCGTCAACATAGATCAAAGCAGTGACGAAGGTACTCCCCCGCTGGTAGATAAAGAGAGCCGCGTCAGCAGGAGAGGAGCGAAAGCCAAATTCGCAGAGAGCGGCGGTGAATTTTTGGTACCACTGGCGCGAAGCCTGACGTAATCCATATAGAGACTTGTGAAGGCGACATACACGAGTGTCACCAGGCTTGCGAAAACCAGGAGGAATCTCCATGTAAATCTCCTCATCAAGGTCACCATGGAGAAAAGCATTGTTGACGTCGAGTTCATGTAGATGCCAACCCCGACTGACAGCAATGGCAATGAGGCAACGAATGGTGACGTGCTTAGCAACAGGAGCAAAAGTGTCATGGAAATCCTGTCCTTCGATCTGGGTGTAGCCTTTTGCAACCAATCGTGCTTTGAAACGCTCGATGGTCCCGTCAGGATAGAACTTGATCTTGTAGACCCATTTGGCAGCGATAGTGCGCTTACCAGGGGGTAAGAAAACGAGACTCCATGTGCCATTTTCTTCCAATGCACGAATTTCTCTAGTCATGGCATCCCGCCAACTTGTTCACGCACTGCTTGATAAAAGAATCGGGGTTCATCGTAGCGTGTTTGAGCTGCAAGGAAGGCACGATAAACAGGCTTAAATATAGTATAATCAACATGGGATGCAAGAGGGTAACGAACGAGATTAGTGGTGCTTCCCTGTCCGGAGTGTGGTGTAAGAGTGGTATCATAATCATCCAAGTACTTGGGGCGGTGGCGTACACGATCGCCACGCCGAAGCACTGGAGCTGGGGAAGTAGCCGAGGGAGAGGTGACCTCGGTGTGAGGCCCTGAAGACGGCCCGGGCGAAGGGGATGAGGAGCTGGGCTCCGGCCCATCACCCAGCTGAGGAGAGAGCGACGTGGGCGGCCCTGACGTGGAGGAAGAGGGCCCGAGTGAAGCATCAGGGGAACTGGGCTCCGGCCCAGTGGGTGAAGGCTGCGGGCTCGTCATAGGAGAAGAGTCGGGGGACTCAGGCGCATCTGTAGTAGGAGGATGAGGAATCCAATGAAGGGTCTTCTGAGTTCCCTCCTGAAATGGAAATATATCTTCTTGAAACTTCACGTCGCGGGAAGTGATGATGCGATGAGAAGCCAAGTCATAAATCCTGTATCCCTTTTGGCTTGCGGCATATCCTAAGAACAACCCCGCACGCCCTCGTTCGCCAAACTTATCCAAGTGGGCATGCGTGTCCTTGTAATATGCGAGACAACCAAAGACACGGAGATGTCGATAAGTTGCAGTGCGACCAAATATGAGCTCAAATGGTGTCTTACCTGTGGCCTTGGTGGGAAGGCGATTGATTAAGTAAACTGCTGTAAGAATGCATTCCCCCCAAAACCGGATAGGTAAGCTGGCCTGGAATCGGAGAGCACGAGCGGCATCTAGAATATGGCGATGCTTTCGCTCGACTACTCCATTCTGCTGTGGCGTGTCGGTGCACGAAGTTTGCAACATAATGCCTTCTCGCTCATATTAATCAACTAGCCCAGTGGTTTGAAACTCATACCCATTATCAGCCTGAATGCGCTTGACAGTACAGTTAAACTGAGACCGAACCATGTTGCAGAACTGGAGCAGATAACGTTCGACCTCTGACTTGTAGCGCAAGAGATAGACCCAAACACCACGAGTAAAATCATCCACGATGGTTAGGAAATAATGAGCACCACTAAGTGAAGCAACTTTATAACCTCCCCAGATATCAACATGAATGAGTTCAAACCGAGTAGTAGTCTTAATTATACTCGAATAAAAGGGTTCTCGTGTCTGTTTGGCCCGTAAACAAGAATGACAAGGGCCAGTGTTCAAACCAACAGGGAAAGATAATAAATGTTTCAAATGCAAAGTCTTTTCCGGAGACGGATGTCCAAGGCGAGCATGCCAAAGAGACGCCGAACTTGAAACTCCACGCTCCACAGCACACGCACTGGTTGGTGCAGTTCCGAACAAGCGCAGATAATACAAGCCATCGTGCAGCTCACCCTTCCCAATCAATTTCCTCGAGCGTAAGTCCTGAATTACGCAAAAATTATCCAGAAAAATCAAGGCAACACGATTATCCTTAGTCAACCTGCTCACCGAGACGAGGTTACATTTAAATTCAGGAACATGTAATACTTGATCAAGGATAAAGTCATGCCGGAGCTGAACCGAACCAATATGTTTTACTGGAACGCTCTCGCCATTAGGAATACGAACGGGTTGGCCATGAATAGGAAGTTCTTTATGAGACAACAACGATTCATCCATAGTAATGTGCTCGTTGCAACCAGAATCGAGCAACCAATCAGATTCATAAGAGACCGTACCTGCCATATTAGCTGCCGGGTCTTCTGTGGATTTGCCCTTCCCTGCGAAAAACAACTTAAGCTGATCAAGTTGAGCCATTGTGAAGCCTGGGACAGGGCTCTGTTCGGAATCCACTTGTGAAGCTTTCGGTTCGCGCCCAAGGACGCCAGCCCCGGAATTATTGTTGGGTCGGCGACGTTGAGGTTTTTCTCCCTGCTCATCCCGTGGTGGGTAACCTACGAGCTTGTAGCACGTGTCACGGGTATGACCAATGCGCCGGCAATGTGTACAGCGAGGACGCTCCTTACTCTCCCCCGCGCCGCGAGCCTGCTCGTCGGAATCTCCCTTTGCAACGAAGACAGCAGCTTCAGAAGGGGTCTTGCGGTTCTGGGAGATGCTTCGCTGCTGCTCCTCATTCAGGAGCATGTGGAAAGCTTCACTGAGGGCTGGAACGGGACGCGACGCCAGGATTTGGGATCGAAGAGCACTGAACGTCTCATCCAGTCCCATTAGGAACTCAAAGAGGCGTGTTGTATCTTGCTGTTCTCGCACTCTCTTTGAGACTCCACACGTGCAAAGACCACAAACACAACTCGGCAGTGGGGCAATTTGTGAAATTTCCTCCCAATAACCACGTAGGCGAGTGTAGAAGGAGGAAACAGTGTGATTTTCCTGTTGTAAGAGGCTGATGAGACGGCGCAATTCGTAAGCACGAGACGAGCTGCCTTTGCCGAACCTCTCTTGGAGATCGGCCCATATTTCCGCAGCGTGTTCAGCGAAGCGTATGCTGCTTCGGATTTCCTTGTCCATGGAAGTTTTTAACCAACCCTTCACCATGGCATCACAGCGTATCCAGGCAGCCTTCTCTGACGCGTCGGTGGGCTTGAGAAGAGATCCATCAACAAAACAGTATTTGTTCTTAGCGATTAGGGCATCCTTCATATCAAGGACCCATTCACCGTAATTGGATGCCGTCAAGACGTCACCAACGAGGAGATTCCCAGGACTGTCTGACGGGGAGAGGAAATAAACTGAAGGGAGAAGATCTTCGACCTTGATTGTAGCTCCGCCGGACGGGCTGCCTTTGGGCTCTTCACCGTCGAGACTCATGGCGGGCGAGAAACAAGGGACTGGAGCTTAGCACAGCTCTGATACCATGTAAAATTATGTGAAAACGATACGAGAGACAACGATTTTACGTGGTTCTTCCTCACAGTGGGTGAGGCTTACATCCACGGGAATAGGAGACTTGTGTTATTTTTTATAACGGCTTATTGCCGTGGTTACATATTTATACCCATTGTCACTAGCATCTAGGGTACAATTCTTACGTACACAGGAATCAAAAGGAATAATTGAATTCATGTCCTTGTAGAGCACGGCTGCATTGGTTGCATGGGCAACATGGGCAGCAGCCTCACGATGGACGTGGGCATCACAAGTGTGGGCCGGATAGGTACGGCCCAATAGAGAGAGAGATGGTGATTCAGCTTTCGGCTCGCGATCGCCATTCTTTCCCCTTCTACTTCGCTGCCCTAGCTAGCTATCGTGCTATTGTGTGTTTAGGAACGGAGATGGAGTTATCGGTAATGGAAGGAAGCCGCATCTTAACGCATGGGAAATAAGGAAAGAGCGGCGATGGTGCATGAGTCCGGGTCAGAAAAGGAAAAGGTTTTCCTTCCCGCTCCAGGAAAGGAATCACGGTGAAGAACGGAAAGGGGCAGATGTACGCAGTGGCGGATTCAAGAATTTTAAATATGAGTGTCCTTTTTCAGAAATTAAATTTAATTAAATTTTAAAATTAAATTAAATAATTATTAAATATAAAAATATTTGACCAATAAAAGTTAAATATCGTATTTCGTAAAATATTAAAATACATTCGATGTCTATACTGCTCAACAAATATCTCTCGACATATCCTATTAGACAAGGGTATCTAATAATTGGGTTCAATCGTTAAGTTTTGAAAATAATTCAAGATAAGAATAATATTTTACTATTATTATTTGGATCTAAAACACAATAACAAATGAGTAATTGTAAATAGGTTTACGAATAATGGCAGTGTCCCAAGTTTAAATCACATAGACTACTACTTAAATATTATTTATACCAATACGCAAACTACTATGGGAGGTTGGATAATCATTTCCCCAAATTTTAAGTGTGTCCCACTACCACTTAAACATTTGTTTGCTTATACACAAACTACTATCCGAGGTTAAATAATCGTGTTTCCAAATTTTAGGGACACCCCTAAACATGCATGTATCTACGTTCACCCTTCTTAATCATTTCATCGCCATGAAAGGTTTCATTAATTGTATTTAGGAATTGACAATGGGCAGGTTTGGGCGAGTATCACTATATCCATACCCGTCCTGTGGCAAGTTAGGTCCAAGTTGTGTAATTTATCATGGATCACGAGTCGGGCCAGGTCGACCCAATAGGTATGCAATTTTTATGAAAAACATTATAAATATTCATTAATTAAGACCAAGAAAACAAATCAATGGTAAATGTAGTTAAATTATTGAAGAAATTTAGGTTTTCATTAATTTCCAACCTCATACTTATAGCTAATTTCCAACTTTATACTTTATTATAGCTAAAATATGATGTAATAAAAGGAAAATTATAAGTAAGTTGGTTAATATTATATGTAATTTAGACAAAAACGAGTCAAGAATTGGACGGATCAGGGCAGGTCGGGTCGATGAGAATACTCATATCCGCCCCACCTCACCTACAGGGCGGGTGGAACCCGCCCAAAACAGACCAAACAAGTCGATAAAATGGGTCAGGTTGAAATTACATGTAATCGCATCTCTATTTCTCATCACTGTCTCTGGTTTTTTTCACTCGCAAAATCAAGTTTTTTCCACCACCACGGTTTATGCTCTGAACAGATATAGCTGTGATGTCGGCGGCGGCGAATGCATCAACAAGAGCAGCTGTCGATTATTGCAGGTCGGTTTCCTACTCTTTCTAATTCTCTTTTCCACGCGTGCTACAAATCCAATGGCTGCTCAACGCAGGGCCGGGTTTAGTCACCCATCTTTCAATGCAGAAGATGACTGAAGGAAAAAAGAAGTAACACAAGGAATTCGAGATAGCCATCTCGTTATATAGATAGATATCGCTCCTAGAAAATCGTTTCTCCAACCCCTGTTCACCGGCTGCAAACAGTATAGTTCATGTTGCATCTTTCAAATGCCCAGGAAAATGGCAGAATGTAATTACTACACTGCTGAGATTTGCTCACCGCTGTCAGCTTGACATATTTATCTGCACCACTGATGTACATCGTCTGAGGTCTACTCTCAGGCAACAATGATCCATCACTGCATACCATACTCCTAGTAGTATCCAACACCTTTTAGCTCTGGAGGGCTAGCTTTCCGGGCGTTGTCATTTCCTCCCAAGGACACGATTCTCCCTGGAGAACAAACACGCAGATTGGTAGTTAGGTAATCCTGGGCTTCTACAGTCTTAATTGGATGTTCGTTACGATCATCGTAGTCGACTACTTGTACCTCCCACCCTAATTAAGTTTTATAAGGTCTACAATCTTCACATCATTTGATAAAACAGGCCAACAATTATATATGACAACCCTGATTCACTAAGATAGCAGTTCAACTCGGCTCCTTTAAGTGCATGCACATAAAAGAGAGAACAACTATTAAGGAACACTTTTTTGTGGTTGAATACTGCGCAACAAGGTTTGAAAGTTGAAATAGCACGGACCTGACCGGCCCACGAGGACAATTCTTTTGATAAGATTACAAACAAACATTTGGTTATTAAACTGTGGATCAAGGATCAAAACCTTGTTTCCCAGGGGGAAAATGGTACAAGTATCAATCACAACTGTATGGAATGATTCTTTGTAGCTGTTCAAACTTCAAATAAAGACGAGAAGAATAGGAAATACCATTTCGACGAATAGCAATCTCTCTTACACGGCGCACGAGGCCAGTTATCGGATCCGTGAATATTTTGGTCTCCAGATTTCCCTCCAGATACACAATTGACCTGAACAAAACAATTGATGGGGAGAAAAAAACAAAAAAGATTAATATATATGTTGGCTCGAGGGCCTGAAGTTTAACTCAGAGGTCAAGCCATAATGAGTTCACGCAACTAGCTTTACAACGATCAGCAACAAGTTGAATTATCACTTGCTAAGCAACCAAATTTCCAAGAGTAACTGGAAATGGGCAGCAGATAGGGTCAGTAACCAATGGTTACTGACCTATCAGTATTAAATCCGGACCGTAGATCTAGGGATGGCATTATTATATTGTTGGGCTGCACGTGGAGTGAGGAGGGGCATTTTTGTCCGATTTTTGAAATTTGATTTCTTTCCTTTTTTTTTTATTTTTTCCAGCATTTATATGTGTTGTCTTTTAATGGAGGAAAGAGAAAAAGCAGACTTTTCTCTTCCTCTCTCTTTTCTCTTTCTTCCTTTCTCTCTTCCAAAATTCTTTTTCCAGATCTAAATCTCATTTCTTCTCTTGTTCTTCATTTTTTTTCTCCAACAATCGATGAATAAATTGCAGCCTCCCACTTCAAATTCGGTGAGGCTCCAAATCCTTCTACTCTCAAGCTGCTCCTTCCTTCTGTTTTTTTCTTTTATCGGCCTCAAAATCGATGATGCTCCATATTGTCAAAGAGGGGACAGATCTAGGTGAGTTGAGTTTGCATCTTTTGTGTTTTAGTATTTGTTTGTGAATTAATTCCGATCTTCTTCCTCTTTTTCTTTCTTTTTGCATTCGGTGTTCTTCATTGCGGAGGAGTAAATGACAGGAGACAGAAGACAAGTTTTTTTTTCCTCTTCCTCCTTCTGTTTCCCCTTCTTTGAGAATATATATTGAGATTACCACACTATACCATATGGTAATGTGTATATACCACACTATACCATATGGTAATTTGTATATACCATATGGTAATGTGTCTATACCATATGGTAATGTGTATATACCATATGGTAAAGTGTCTATACCATATGGTAATGTGTCTATACCATATGGTAAAATGTATACCATATGGTAAAGTGTGGTAACGAAATGTATTTTTATGGATATCGTGTTTTACTATGGTCGTAAAAGGGTTGTAATTAGATTTATATTATTTTTATATGGTTTTAACTTCTCATACCATGTGGTATTGTATGGTAATTACAATTAATTTGTGTTCATTCGATTAACCATGTTCTACTATGTTGGCATTGTATGGTAGTTAGATTTACCATATGTTGATATTACCACACTATACCATATGGTATTGGGTGGTAACGAAATATATATTGATATTACCACACTATACCATATGGTATTGGGTGGTAACGTAATATATATTGATGTGACAAATTTTTTCATACCATATGGTATGGTCAATACCAGTCATTACCATATGGTATAGACTGGTAATAACTGACAAATTTTTTTATGTCTGAAAAATATCAAAGTGGATATCATTTTGAAGAGCACAATTAATCTGATCTAACTGTGCAAAAAAAATTAAATTCCGACTTAAAACGAGTGAGAAATCGTCCGTTAAAGATTAAGAGAAGGAAAATTAAAGGTTGTTTGAGGAGAGAGAAGGCGCTGATGTGATCTGGTCAGCGTCAGCGCGTCAGCGCGTCAGAGACATCATTAAATAGGGGGTGCAATTTTACCTTAATGCCCCTCCGTATTTTTTTTAAATAAAAAGAAAAAGCTGACACGTGGGGGCCAGGGGAAGGGGTTACTGATGGTTACTGAGGTATTGGTTACTGAGGGGATCCGCTCCCCTGGAAATGGTATTTCCTTCAGCCAAACATGGGTATTCAATTGTTTCCAATTTCATTGACCAGAACAAAAGAAATTCCACAATGTAGATAGAAACCCTAAGGTCTAATAGCAGTGAGTGAAACATAAGCCTTAATCAAACTATGTCACTAGCATTCCAAATCAGTCCAGAGTTTCAGAAAGCAAGAACAACATTTAGCACACCAGCTCGTTTTGATCATATACAGAGTTTTGATCCTTTTTTTCCTCCATCTAAAGACTCTTGATGGATAGAAAACATACATTGCAGCTTTGAACAGCATGGTAGCCAAAAAAGGTGTATATTCTAGGACACGAGAGAGAACATATGTATGCAGAGGTAAAAGAAACAAAGTCAGAATCACTAGTTGGCATTAAGACATCAATCCGACCATCATCTGCAGGACTGAGACTGAAGTCAAATAGGCCGCTTAAAGATGGTCAACCTTAGTAGTCTATTCCTAACCACATCATGAACTCTACAATATAATAGCAACATCAATACAACATCACTCCCCAATACTCTGTGACTCATATCTTATTCAGTTCTTCATGCCAGCTAGAGCATTGGTGAGTGATCTTCTCCCCATCGACACGATTAGGAAGTGATATCGCCATTCGATTTAACTAGCACTAGGAGCTCACTAATGATTATTCTACTACCAGTGCAGTGGAAGATGATAGAAAAAACAAGAATGGAGCACTTTGCAGCAAGAAACTCACCCGGGCACAATATTCTTCATGACAATATCGCCCAATCTCTCAGGGTAAACCGAGACACGATGCCACTGAACAGCACATCGATTCTCATAATCTCTGGGCTCCTCATTATCCAGAGGCCTACGGTTATTGCGAATCCCTCCCGTTCCCAGAGAGAGCAGAGTCACCGTCCTCCCTCCCTTCAATTTCTTCTGAAATGGACTCTGCCCCACCTTACCCACCAATATCGCCTGCACGGTAAATCCACCAACAATCAACGAAAAAACCCTCCAAAAGAAAAGAGAACAGTTTTGACATTTCGATTCAAATCGACCTTATAAACGCCGATATCGATGCCACCCTCAAGTGGGCGATCAAACACCACCGGTTCGCCGGCGAGGGGCGCAGTAGATGACGGCGATGGCGGAGAAGAATCAGCGGCGGGGTTGGGAACTGACTCGGTCTCTACGTCTGAGTGCTCGGAAGAGGAGACAGTGGTTGTGCAGAAAGGCATGGAAATCTGAGACAATTTGGAGCTTGAGAGAAGGCAGCGGTAGAGCCTGCGCGAGACAGCAGCCATCGAACTTGCCATTTTTTTTCTTCCTGGGTAGCTTGTGCTCGGGAGAATTTGCAGAAATTTAAACCCTAGAGAACTTAAACCCTTAACTGTACCCGCGGAGTTGGGGTAATACCAGTATAACGGTGATACGTAGACCGTAGGCGTAGTGGTGGTTCTTCTTCCGCCTTCCTGCCCGAATGAGTCTCGGGTACGGGTCCGACTTTCTTAGTGTATTAGTAATAGTATTAGCCTATTAGGCTATTAGCCCACTTCGACTCCGTGGTGGAATCAGTGCAAGGCTACCGTGTGTCCCATGCTCATGAATCTCAGACTCTGCTATGGATCATAAATGTTTCATGTTCGTGCTCGAATCGAGTCAGGTCGGTCCAGTGTCAGCTACGATTCAAGCTTATTCATTTGGTTATCGCCGATAATTTGTTAGTCTTCTCCAATGGTTCGTTAGTTGCGCTTCAGTTGGACCCTAATGTGGCTCTCTGCATTTGTAACCAAGCATGATCCCATATTTGCAACTCAGGGTTTTTAAGGCATCTGATCTGAGGCTACATCTTTGTGCGGTTATCAATGACTGACCTCTTTGCGTTCAGGTGCACTCATCTTCTCACCCCAAAGCATCCACATTCATGGATAGCTGATCTCACTAGAATATTGCAGAATTGACTGCAAGGGTAGGCATTATAGTTATAAACAAGGAGAGATTGCCCTTGAAGGCTGAAATCAAGGTGCCAATGACAAAAGTTTACAGACTTCTGAAGCCTTTTTCTCATTGACTTTACACAGTGGAATCTTACACTTCCAGACGAGAAATACACAAAATAAACAGGGACAAAGAGAGACAGAGACTGTAAGGTTTGTAGTACAACGAAAAAGATATGGCGGTTTCGGTTTGATGAGAACTTCCGTGTTGAAGAATGAACCCATACTTACAGTTTGTGAAGGCACATTAATGATTTAGTCAAAGCTTAGCTTTACTTGAGAAAGCATAGCACGCCAAAATTGCTCAATAGCTTTTTGCATAGGTAGCAAATCGTTCCAGCCCGCGACTGAGCAAGCTCTCAAGAAAAGGTTGCAGGGCCTGGAACAAGAGCATGCATCAAAATGATTAATTAGTTTCTAACAGGATGTATGGCTTATCAGTTCTTGCCAAGCAAAAGAAAAATTCCCTTTCAGACAGTTCAGATTCAGTTGGTCGTTTAGAGGTGCTTACTGATGCAACTGGAATCAGAATTGGAGGAACTTCGTATGACACGGTTAGCTGAAGATGCAATTAAAAGAGAGTATAGTCAAGCTTAAGTTGTAAGTGTCCCAGAAAACATCGCATCATCGCCGTGGAAATGGCCAAAAGATAAGGAAGTATTGAGTATGTAAGGGCCTTACTTCTACTACACATGATGTCGGGCCTTTGGGGAAGAATCGAACAGCACCCCTGCGCAGTAATAAGAATCAGCAGCAAACCAATATCATGAAGAACACACAAGATTGTCCAATTGAAGAAAAAAAAGAAATTAACATGCTTGCAACTCGTTTTTAATGTAAGTGCTACTGGAAGACAATGAATCAAAGTCAGGTTCTTATTTTTTCTGTGCTTATTGAGGAAATGCTTACTAACTACAAGTCTACAATTGATTGCTCATATAAATATATAATGCAACCCTGCAAGTAACTGAAAGTTTCAAGTATATTCTGTCAAATTACCTGTTTGGTAGACCATCCAAAGATCTCCAATGAATTTTTTGATTTGGAGTAGGCTGGAGAAGTCAATCACAGATTGCCAAATAAATAAACAAACTTTTCAGCACAAAACCAACAATTCGCTGAAATCAGAAGAGAAGCACAAGAAACATATATACCTGCAAATTTCGTGCAAGCCAAGAGAATTCGATATCACGACCAAATGCTTTATATTTCAATGACCACCGTGATAAGTCTGGCTTGTCTTCCAATATCTAAACAAGATGGCCAATATCAACTTATGCTTAAACATCCAATCTCGGACCAGATGATCAGCTAACAAACTACTACCAACAACACCACACAACATTTGGCCCTCCTAAACTATATCAGATTAATCCGTTTAACCAATATGGCAATTTATCAAGAAAAGGGCTTCAATTATAGAATGCGGGATAAGTATGTTCCGCTTGACATTCAAAGTTGTGGTGAGCAAATAAAGTCCTACAAGTAAGCAACCATCCACTTTGCCCACTATGCTTTAAGTTCATAATGATAGCTAATCAAGTTAAAATTTCCCACACCTGGACAGAGGAGATGAAGGGCATCCAATTGGCAATGGCTTCACGATCAGAGTAGCAGTTATAAGCAACAGAAGCTGGGACATCGATTTCCGCCTTCACTCTGCAACATCAATAAGAGTTTAAGCCCAAAATTGCAATCGAAGGGACTGGACAGCAAATGCCCACAAATCAATTGAAGGAGCCGTGGTTCCCAACTGAAGAACCAAGGGAAAAAAGACTTACGTGCAGTCCTGCCACTCCATGACAGGAGGAGAAAAGGGTCTGAACCTTGTACGGTATAATGATCTCCTCCTGCACAATTCGTACTGAACCCCCAACAGGGTTTTGCTAAAAGACGGAGTCTTTATTGTCGAGATGTTGCAAGCGCCAATGCAGCAATTAATGGCGGGATGGATTAGACTGAGAGGAGATGGAGTTGAGCCTGAAATTAAGGCAGAAGCCACCATTTTTTGGGTAAAAAAGGGGTGTACTTTCAAAGGGGGAAGGATTGTGAATACCCCACAGAAGTCAGTGAACTGTGAAGCCTTCACTTCTTCGTAGGACTCCGCCTTTCCCCTTCTCTGGAAAAAAGAAAGGGAAGCAAGTGATGCTTTTTCAGCCACTGATGCAAAAACTGGAAATTAGCATTAAATTCCAACGAGGCAATGAGGACGAAGCAGTTCAAGCCTAGTCCAGTTAACATGAATAAGTGTTCCATTTGTTTAAAGGCCAACCCAATCATCCAATGAAGTCCAGCCCAACAACTGTTCCATTTGAAGAATGAGGGATGCATTTTACATAGGCAAAATACACTTGTGTAGCCAAAACTTTGACGGTTTGGCCAAATATAGCCACATTTGGAGAAATACCAAAAATAGCCACTTCCGTCCAATTGTTTGACGGTGTTAGTTAACGTGCTGACTGGATTAACAGCAACGGTTGATGTGGCATATTTTATTCAAAAATAATGTTAGGTGAAAAAAAATCAAACTTTTATCTTTTTATTTAATCAAATTAAATAAAAAAAATATCTTCTCTCCACCGCCTGCTCACCTCCCCTTCATCAATACTTCCCTAAAGCTCCAAAGAGCTTCTTCCTCTTCTGCAATCACCATTCACCACAATTGAAACCCTCCATAACCCAAACAAAACAAAAAAAAAAAATTCAAAGTTCTGAAACCCTCCACATCAATCCCTACCCATCTTCCGTCGTCCATACCACCACCATCACCATTTTGAAACCTTCCATGAGTGTTTGTCCCTCTCTCACCACCACTGCCATCCCTGTTGAGTCTTCCATGGTGTAATTAAGACGAATCCCACAACAAAAATGCCAAGCAAGGGGTAACCTAGGCACTCATCCTCAAAGCTCACAAGGTCGCCGACTGTTTAACAACCATTGATTCGGCAATGGTCTCCTTAGGCTCCGCCATCAAGTGTTGGGCTAGGGTCGAGTTGCATCAACGCCGATATCGACAACACCGACAGCGGGTCGGGCGTCATCTGGGAACCCCACCGTCAGAACTTGGTTCCACTCTTGCGTCGGCTGAATCTTCCAGAGGGTAGCGAGTGCGGCTGCGGGATTGCTTTTCCGATGGATTTGGGAAAGTGGAGAAAAAGGAAGGTAGATCTACTCTGAGTGATAGGATCTCTCTCCGCCGTAGTGGCGCAACAGATCTGGAGACCAAATAGTGATCTCCAATGGCTCCGAAGTAGGGGAAGTTTCAAGAATCAATTGATGACGCCACAATCGGAGTCGGTACGATTCAAGCCGGATGACAGAAAGCTCGTGGATGAGGATGGAACTGATCTCTCATCGTCCGCCGCCTCCTCCTCCTTTGTCTTCTTTTCCGGTTGTGAACAGAGAAACGGCGACGGAGCGGCACATAGTTGGGGATTGTGATGGCGGCGATGGCTGTGGTGAGGTGGGGGAGGGTTTTCGCTGCTGGCGAAGGGGAAGTGAAGAGGCTGGGAGTAGAACCCAAAGCTAGGAGATCCAATTGTGGGAGATTATAGATTTGGGGGAAGTTGGGGGAAACCATAGCAGGGGATTCGTCCTCTTACAGAAGTTTTTTTTTTTTTGGTAATATCATCTTGGAGAAGATGAAGTGTGGGGGAGAACATAAGAATTAAAAAAAATATATTTTGCTAAAAATTAATTAATTTATTTATTTTTAAAATAAAATACGACATGGCATTCATGTGACAAGTATTGGTGAGTTGTCAATGATGTGTCGGTGAGTTGGCAGCCAGGTAAGCGTTCTGTTAATTTAACTAACGGCGCCACTGATGTCGTTAAAATATGTAACGGAAATGGCTATATTTGTCATGGAACTTTCAAAATTTTGGCTATTTTTGGTATTTCGCCAAAAATGGCTATTATTGTCACAAACGTGAAAGTTTTGGCTACACAGATGAATTTTGCCTTTTACATATATAGATTTTTTTCTAATAGGGATAAAGTTCGTTTCAATTTTATCTGATGTTCCCGAAGGAACGTACTAGGGTTGAAGATCGAGTCTATATTCAACTGATTAAATTTGTCAAAAATTCGTTGGGTTCTACTTTTTTCTGTTACAAACAAACTAGCAATTTCATAACCAAATCAGTGGGGATTGGTAAGTTGTGAGTAGTGTAGATCCACTCCTTGTTACTCAAATAGTTTGGACCAAAAGGCACAGGTATATGGAAACGACGGTATGTTGCATTCCATGAAGCTTAAAAATGCCATCATAAAATGTTTGAGCTACCCAGTAGCAGTATGAGGCCGGATCAAACTTAAAAAAAAATATCATACTTGGAGAACCTATCAATAACCACATATATCACTTCCTTCCCTGCAGAGTTGGGTGATCCATCTATAAAATCCATCGAGATATGTTGTCGATAAGGGTGTGCAACGATTCGGCCCGGACCGGACCAAACTCATGAGACCTCGGTACATTAGTGAAACACATCTTAGGACCAAGGACCAAACCATCATTGCATTCGGTCCATTTGGTCCGGTTCGGTCCATCATTTCTTTAGTAATTGTAAAATTCATGTGGACTAAGGACCATACCGCATTATACTCGATCCGGTGCAGTTCGATCCAAACGTCGGTTTGGTCTGGTGCGAACCGGACCATTGCTCACCCCTAGCTGTCGAGCTCTTTCTGGTACTGGTAAGGGTTGTAGCAAGCTAGGATATGATACATTTTCAATTTTTCAAGGCTGGCACACATCACATTCCTTTATCATTTCCTTCACCTACAGTTTCATACCAAGCCACAAGAAATATCTCTTTAATCTTTGGTATGTTACTTGTACTCCCGAGTCTCCTCCCACTAGGGAGTCATGGAACAACTTCAGTATCTTCTATCTCATATCTCCAGCACTTCCTACATACAATGCATCTTTATCGTACAGTGTTCACCTTAGGACAAACAAAGGGAATGATAGCTTCCATCATCAACCCTTAGACTTCTAGATCTCCTTCATAAGTTTGCTCCAATTCCGCTAAGCAAGCTGGTAACACAGCTGAAGTAGCCTTACATGTCCCCACCCCTTGAAAATCAAACTGCCTTGACAAACCATCTGTCACTTTATTGAATCTGTCTGACCTATATTTGATTTCAAAATCCAAGCCCAGTTGCTTCACTAAACCTTCTTTTGTATGTGAGTCTGAATTTTCTGGACAAGCAAATGCTTAACGCTCTCGTGATCAGTGAGGATAGTGAAGGATTTTCCTTTGAGGTAGTGTCTCCACTAGGTGACTGTAAGAAAAAATGCTAGATACTCATTTCATAAGCAGACAACCCTTGTTGTCTAATACCTAGAGCTTGACTATGATAAACAATAGCCCTCCCTTAGTGGGATAGAAAAGCTTTAATTCCCACATCACTAGCATTTATCTCCAACTGAAAGGACAGAGAGAAATTTGGCAATGCTAGAACTGGTGAATGAACCATGGTTGTCTTAAGCAGCTCAAAGGCTCTACCACCAATGGAAGACCAAACAAATCTATATTTCTTCAATAACTCAGTTAATGGGCTGCTAATTGCTCCATAATCCCTTACAAACTTCCTATTATAACTAATTAAGCCTAGAAAGCCACACAATTCCTTCACATTTTAGGCACTGGCCACTTAACCATGACTTCAATCTTAGCTGGATCAGTACAAACATCATATTCATTGATGACATGACCCAGGTAATCCACCTCTTTTTGTGGAAAAAAAACCTTTGGAAGGTTTGGCATATAAAGTGTGTTGTCTGAGGATTTGGAGAGTGCGAATGAGGTGTTGACAGTGGGTGTCTTGGTCAAGGTAGTAGACTAGGATATTGCCAAAGAAGACTAGGATGAACTTTCTGAGGTAAGGTTAATTTTTTTTGTTCAAAAGTGGTTGGAAAGTGGTTGGTGCATTGGTTAAACCAAAAAGTATCACTGTGAGCTCAAAATGTCCATGGTGGGTTCTAAAATCAGTCTTATAGATGTCATTAGGGTGCATTCTCATTTGGTGATAGCTAGAAACAAAATCAAGTTTGGTTAAGAAAGTGGCTCCACCAAACTCATCTAACATGTCATCAATCACATGAATAGGGAATTTGTTTTTTATAGTAATGGAGTTCAACTGTCTATAACCAATGCAAAATTTTCAAGAGACATCTTTTTTAAGTGCAAAGAGAACTGGGGAAGCAAATGGACTCCTGCTAGGTTGAATGTAATCAGAAGAAAGCATCTCATGATCTAACTTCTCTACTTATATATTTTGGGGTAGTGGTTATCGATAGGGTCTAAGGTTTACTTGGTTAGAATCGATTTGAAGAGGAATGATTTGGTCACAGTCAAAAGAGGGTGGTAAGGAAGAGGGTTTGCCAAACACATCTTTGAAATCATCCAGGATAGGCGGCACAAAAGAGGGAGGTGAATTACCTGTTATGGGAGCAATAGTCATTGTGTAATTGTCATGCCCATCTAGGGCTAGGCATGCGGGCGGATCATCCGCGTGTTTGGGCCGACCCACCCGCATTTGACCCGAATTTCGTTAAGTGGGTGGGTCTATGGGTGGGTGACGGGTTGCGCTGGGAGCCATCCACCGGGTGGTGGGTGGGTTGTGGGTGGGTGCGCGGGTGACCCGCTCAACCCAACAGAAAAAAGATCAAAGTCGTCGGCGCTAGAGAGGGGAGAGTGGAGACGTTAGACATAAACTAGGACTGCTCCTGGAGTTTAAACCTCAAAGCCAACCTTCCAAATAGCGATCCCCTCTTCTTCCCTTTATTTTTTCCTCTAATTCTTGTGCCTAAATCACTGCTCTTTCCTTTGTGCAATTATTTTTCTTAGTTCCTTGCACCTGATAATCATCTCAATTTGTAGAAAACTCTTTCATCATAGAATTTCTATCCATTTTAAGAACTAATTCGACATTTTTCGTCCTATTTCATCTTCTTGTTTCCCCATATAACTCTCTTCGCCTATTATCATGTCAAGTTGACTCTTTTATATTATATACATTGTGATGTGGGTGAACCCACAAACCCACCCAAATCATCCACCATCCGCCCGACCCAACCCGAGACTAAATGTGGGTGGGTGGTGGGTTAAAAATTATCAATCCGTTTAAACACGGGTGAGTGCATTTTATGGTCAAAACCCACCCAACCCACCCAATGCCCACCCC